TCCTCTTCCAATGCTGCTGGACTGGGTGCTGGCACCACATCCCCAGGGTCCTCTGGCCAGACCGCTGCCCTCACACAGGAGGGAGGTGTGAGAATAAGCGCAGGAGTCCTGGGCCAAAGGTGTTCCTGCCCAGCCTTCTGCTCTCTCTCTTCAGGAGGGGGAGGAAGGGGGATGAAGCCCTGCATCCAGTCATCTCCTAGATCCTTTAATTGTGTACCACATACATGCACACACAAACACACACTTCCATACTGTCCACTTTTTCTGCCTGCATAACTGAAGATAAAATTAAAACGACATGTAATTACAATGAAAAAGCTGGCTAGAAGTCATTCCAGTGTTGTAAAACAAGTCCCATTTATTTTGTTTATTAGTTAATAAATAATTACTTATTTGCAAATACAGTTGCATCTGTGCCGATGACACACATTTTCTTGGACAGATGACTTAGGAAGGCACTGAACACCCAATGAGGAGTTGATAAAAATCTACACATGTAGGCCATGTCAATTAAACCACACTCTCTAAAACAAATCCAGCATTTTGCACAAGGAAATCTGAGCTCTTGGGACAGAGCCGTGGCTGTGGGATGGCAGTCCTAGTCTGCTGTGTGGACATCAATACTGGACTGGAAGGTGTTGCAGTTGCCCCAGAAAGAGAAGCAGGTTCAAAGGGAGGTGGTTCTGGCCTTAGAGCCAAAGACTAGGGAAGCCACGTTTGGCCTCAGCCACATCTGCCATGGAAGAACCACCACTGTAAATGACCCTTAGGGCACCCAGAAATGCAACACGCAAAAAAAGCCACGTGCAGGAGAAGGGAGCAGTGAAAGCAATGCCCCCCTGTTCCCGTCAGCCTGCTGTGCTTCTGTGCACGCACAGAGCCTGCTGTGTTCCTTAGTCCTAACCACCGGCTGCTGGCAAGGCAGAATTCAGCTTAATTTGCCTTAACACCTCTTTAAGCTGTTTTAATGTCACCGTCATTTTGCATCATGAAACAGTGCTTTCCTACAACTGCTTTCATGACTATTGCACATTTCCCATACACCCCCCCAAAAAGAAAGAGGTCAATTCACAGCTGTCATTTCGCCTAGTAATGATCTCTTCCATCCCAGTTTCCCACAGCAGCAATGGGAAAAAAAAAACAAACCAACAAACACAAACAGAAAAGGGCAAGGAAAGAAAAATATTTGTTATTTGAAAAGGTGTCATTTAGCTTCCTTTTAATACACAAACATTTTGTGTTCACCACCACAGGCATTACTGCTCTCTTACACTGATATGTGAATGGAAGTTTTATAGTTATATTATATAAATGTAAAAAGAATATTATCTACCTATCTAGGGTTGTTTATGTGCCTGCATGTGTGTTTGCATGCACACACACTCCCATGGCCTAGCAAGAAGTTGGCCAACAGTGTGGCCTAGGCCAGAAACAGATTTGCTGGTGGGTTCATACTCAAATAGAGTCAATACCAGGCTGGAACCTGGAGCAACACTTGTATAACATCACTCACTCCTTGTGGCAAAGTGCTCCAGGGAAAGATCTAGATATATCATAGAATGGTTTAGGTTGGAAGGGACCTTGAAGATCATCTAGTTCCAACACCCCTGCCATGGGCAGGGACACCTCCCACCAGACCAGGTTGCTCAAAGCCCCATCCAGCCTGGCCTTGAACACCTCCAAGGGATGGTGCATCTACAGCTTCTCTGGGCAACCTGTTCCAGTGCCTCACCACCAGTGAAAAATTTCTTCCTAATATCTAATCTAAATCTACCCTCTTCTAGTTTGAAGTCATTGCCCCTTATCCTATCACTACATGCCCTTGCAAAAAGTCCCTCTCCAGCTTTCTTGTAGGCCCCCTTCAGATACTGGAAGGCTGCAACAAGGTCTCCCTGAAGCCTTCTTTTCTCCAGGCTGAACAACCCCAACTCTGTGTCAGCCTGTCATATGATGAGAATCACTTTCATATTTGTTTTTAAAACACTCCAGTTCTGTGTTTGTTTAGCTGCAAATTCTCTAGCTCAAAACTCCCTCTGGGACATGTGCAAGCTTAGAGACACAGTGTGCTGTGAACGCAGCTCCCTCAGCTAACAGAAAGGATTGGCCAAAATAAAGAAGTCCTACTTGAAATGTATTTGGTATCCAAGTTAGGACTGGCTCCTTTTCAGATGCCCTCGTTTCAGTTTGCCTTCACGGTAGAGTAAAAAATCCGCCCTGCTTTCCTCGCCTACCTAGAAGTAGTATATTGGAGGATCCTATTCTCCTCAGCAAGAGTTCAAGGCAGCCCTTGAAAAAAGGGTGCAGAAGAGTGCACATCTACAAAACAAATGAGTTAACCAAGCAAAAAGGGGCTGTTTTTAATGCAGTTGTGTATTTTGCTTAGCAAATTACCATCTTTTATATCTGTGCACAGATACTTTGTATCCACAGGTTCCCTTTGGAAAGCTCCTCCTGTCCTCTGAGAGCCTGCCTATTTCTTGACTTGTGGCTGTTAAGGGCATTTATATTTGTAATATCAAACCAAAACCAAAATGGCTTGTGCACTCTGCTAGGCTTTCAGATTACATAGGTTTTGTCTGAATGTACCATGGAAAACTTTAATCAATCTACTTATCTATATTTTAACATGTAGATGACATTCTGCTCTATACTGGATAGACATTATGCTGTATACAGTGAAAGCAACAGAGAAGTACAACATGAATTGCACTATGTCAGTTTACCAAAATATTTGTGACCAAAAAAAAAGGAAAAATATTCATAATAGGAGCCATTTCCCTTAATTTAACAACTTGAAAATTGATCCTGGCTCCTGAAACACTCTTGATTTTCAAATTCTTTTTTATTTTTTTCAAAATGAGCCCTTTGCCAGGCAGATTGCATTTTCTGAATTCCAAGTCAAAGTTGGTTTAAAAATTTCAGTGTTTGCCGAATAGGATCATGGGATAATTTAGGCTGCAAGAGATGTCAGGAGGTCTCTGGGTGAACCTCCTGCTCAAGGAAGGTCAGCTTTGAGGCCAGCCCAGGTTGTTCAGAGTTTTATCCAGTCAGGTGTTGAAAATTTTCAGGGGTGGAGACTGAACAATAGAAGTTTATTCAAATGTAGGCATTTGGCTGAATGTGCTCAAAATCCAAACCAAACCAGTACAAGCTTCTCCACTTCTACCCCACGCTGCTGCAAATGTCCCTGCCAAGTCATACAATGGCAGATCTGACACAATTCTGCATAACAGGTTAAATGAACATTAGAAAATCATTAAGGGCCAAATTCAAACCACACTGAAATCAATCAAGAGATGTCCTTAGTGTCTATCTAGCTCCTCTAAGGGAAACGTTTTAGCAATTAGCACTGACGAAAGGTAGTGTCTGATGGGATCAGGCCAGGTTCTGAACGAATGGCTCTCGTCAGGGCTGGGGAAGACTGGGAGCTGAGTTCAGGTTAGGGAAGGAGCCAAACCACCAGGTGTTGGTCTGTGTCCTGAGAGCAGCCTCAGTCCTGGGAAACTAACAACCTACTGAAGAAAACCTCTATCATAAATATTAAAACTGGGAGAGTGGGGCAGTGCCTGTGTCCTTTCTCCATGTTGCATTTATTAGTTAAAGGCTTGATTCTTCCCTTTCTTTTCAGGAAGCTAAGAGTCAATTCACTGAAAACAATCCTGTAAAAATAGCCTGAGATATGACTCAAGCTGAAAGTCACTGATAGAATTCTTCCTTAGAGCTCCCACACTTCGGTTTCAATTGGGGAAAACAGTAGGAAAATGAGAGAGAGAAAAAGGAAACCAATATCCAAATATAGATATTTACAAGTAGGTATATTACATTCAATTTTTCTATCTTTTCACCAATGTTCTGTCATTATCTATGATGATAAAAAAAAAAAGCTTATGCAAGGGTGAGTGATATTTTGATACAGACCTTTCAAAGAAAAGTGATAATCCAAAGCAGCACTTTTCTAGAAATGAATACTTTGGATGTTTTGTATCTCTTTTTTTTTTTTTTCTTTCCTTTACGTCACAGAATTCACAAGACCAAAATTAGGTACAATGTTTTTCAGGTTTTAAAAGTTAGCGCTGTATTTCAGTGGGAGCCTGAAAACAAAACAAAACAAAAAGCACTTCAATTATAATAAGCAAAGTTCTTCTCATCCTAACAAAAAATTAAATGCTGTTATGGGATTTCATTCAACCTTGCTCCTTACCAAAATACTTCAGGCCAAGTATATCAAGATAAGTTGAAGTTTTAAGCTGCATTATAAATAACCCCTGACTCTAAGGGAACTTATTTGGAGATTATCAAGAAAATTATCAAGAAATATAAAGAATTCAGCAGTATGTTAGTGGACACTGCAAAAGTGTATGAGAAGTCTAGAGCAGCTCTAAGTGTATTCTGGTTGTTTAAAGGTTTTCTGACATAGCTGTTGTATTGTGCATCCAGTATACAATCTTTTTGTCAATAACATCTGGGCAATCATTGTGTGCAAAAAATGAATCTTGGGTTTATGGCATATTTGCAGTCATATGCTTTCTACCTGTCAATATAGTTCAAAGGCTGTGAATGAGGAAAGTTAGGTAGATGCAGCATCTGTCCTAGGTCGCATAGGATGGACAGGATGGTCTCATAGGTTTTACTTTTTGTCATAGAGCATGCAACACATCTGAACAAAAGGACACCTGCTTTGGCAATCCCAGCCATCACAATGGCAAAGCAGCAGCAGCAGCAAGCAGTGGCTTCATTCTGTCATATTTATTTGTTTAGCTGGCATTGCCCCTTCATCTCACTGATAATTTGGTGCTTACTCAGTTTCACACTTCTTCAGAGTGATCATCACCTCACATCTCTCAATGTGGTCAGCTTTCATTTTCCTTCCCACCCAAACCACAACAAGATTCAGACATAAAGTGTTGTACAAGCATCAAATCTGCATGTGCTTTTGTGTGCATGTGTCTGTCCAAACAGTTCTTAAAAACACTAGCTGGCATATTTTGTTACTTCAGTTTTCAAGATACTCCTTCAGCAGCAAAATCATCTAAATCAGTGAGGGACACTATGTTGGTATTTGGGGTTGGGCTCATGTCCTTTCGTAAGTGAACTTGAGTTTCTTCAGCATCTTGACTATAGGAGTAAGAGGCTGGTTCAATATAAGTCTGAGTATCCACAGTTTCAGCGTATCTGTAGTCCTGCTGGCCATCTTCTGGTAGTTCAGCTGGTTCTCCTGGTACAGATGGCATTAACCAGGTAGGTTCAGAGAGCTGAGAAGGTGACTTCAGCACTGCTACAGATGAAGCTGGTAAAGGCAGCACTCTAGGGTAGGAGGCATAGGGAGAATTCATAATTTCTGAAGAGGGGGGCTGGTATAAGGTCCCTTCCGAGGAAGGGACTGAGACTTGGACATATTTGCCAGTTTCTGGGTCATAAAATGTCTTTAAATTCACTTCAGCTGGTAAATCAACTACATAGTATTGACCAGAGTCAGGGTCTTGGAGGAGTTTACGCTGGGTTGAAGAGGGTGAAGGGCTTACTGCCGATGCAGCACTGGGTCTTCCTGTACTGGTTTCTGTGGGAGTAAAAGTTGAGTGAGGGGCAGGATGGAGAGGAGAATATCCCAAAGGTGAAGGAGATGCTAGTGTTTGTCCACAATGAGAAGGCTTTCTCCCTACAGCATCTTCATGCTCAGTCTGATGTTTTTTCTGCTGCTCTTGCATTTTCTTTCTCTTGCTTGCCAGCTTTTTGGCCCGCCGCAGAGCCTTTTCTGTTTTTGGTGGCACAGCGGGAGGCTTGCCTGCTGCTCTCTCCCCAAGTCCCCTGGGCTCCAGTCTCTCAGCTTCACCTGCAGAACTGGAAAGCAGATTCCTCTGTGCTGAATCAAGTATCTCTTCCGCAGACATATCAGTTTGGTTCTTTAGTGCCATGTTCAGCAAGGCAGGGTTTATAACATCCTCTGTCTCTCTATGGGCAGAAATTGTTGGTTTGTCTGATGATGAACTGGCAGCAAGAGAGTGCATGGTGCTGCCTGACCTGGGGCTTGTAACAGCAGAGCATGCGAGACTGTCTAACAAATCTGATGCACCTTCTGTACGTAGGATGTCCTCTAAAGCTTCGTGGAATACAGGAGAATATGTGTGGTCCTCTGATATGGAGCCAGTCACAGGGGAACTTGTCTCCCTAGTGATTATTTTTTTCGCACAAGAGCCACCTCTGCGATTAGATAAATGATGATTCTTAAAGTAATTTGTCTTTCTCTCTGTGGGATAGCTGGGGTTGATTTGTGCTTGGTCATTTTCCAGACTTAAACTTGGCTGTGTTAAGCTGTGTCTTGCCTTCCTAGCCTGGGGTTTCTCTTTCCTTCTGTGGGCACTTTCCTCATTCATTTTCCCAACTTTATTTAACAAAGCACAAGTCTCTTCATCTTCTTCCATCAGCTTCCCTAATGAAAAGCTCTCTGTATCCTCCACAAGACTGGGATCCAGTGTTGCTGAAGTAGATCCAGGCTCACTGGCCTCTTTCTCTTTGTCGGTCACTCCATCCCTCACGTTCTGCTGCCCTCTGCACCTTGATGCCGACCAGCCTACCTCCTGGGTACGTAACCTGTTTTGGTGCTTCTTGTTCTGCTCTGCTGGGGACATAAACCTACTTTCCATTTCCTTATAACTGCTGCTTACTGTATCATCCAGGGAAAAGGACCTGAACAGGGGGAGCTTGACAGCCCTTATTACCTGAGGTGACCTGAATGTGTTATCTTTAATCATAAATAGACTGGGTTTGGTTGAGCTTGAAGATGGTGGTGTTTGTGGTTCCTCACACCTGTGGATGGACATGTCCCTTACACTGTCAGAAGCAGAATCCATGCTTTTGGCCTCTTGCCTTTTCTCTGTCCTTAGGTTCTCTTTCATCAAGCTCCTCTGTTCATTTCCAGTAACCTTCCCCTCCCTCTTCTCTGCTGCACCAGTACCAGAGCTGATAGAAGCATAATATTGCAGTTCATCTTCCCCAACCTCTTTC